CATGAAGTGAGAGATAAAACGTACCAATTTGAACTCTAAAAGAAGTATGAAGAACGATTACTTCGACACCCAAATGTGTCAATAATCCTTTGCATGTCACTCTGCATTGTCTTGTTTGCATACTGTCTTTCAATGTTAATAACGGCGATACTGCGAAGTTGGTCTTGTCCCATTGTGGATCTTAAAAATGTCTTGATGCGGCGAAGGACGCTGAAAGACCTTTCAGCAGAGCACGAGGTTGCAGGAATTGTGGCCAGGATGGAGATAACTTTATATATAGAACAGGTAAAATGTAATGGAGACCATTTTAATGCATGGTCTTTACCATCACGGCTGCGTTTTTTCTCTGGCATGGGCCCCCGCAGTCGTAGTTTTCAAAGATTGACTTCTCACTTGATAGCATTTCACTATCCACGCAAGAGAAATTTCATACAGTTTGGATGTTGTTGAGGCTTGGAGAACGGCTGAATACGATTTCACCCAATGCGCACAAAACCTCCAGGTCATTGCCCTCAAACCTTGATTGAAGTTCACTAACGACTTTGTCAATACATGTGTAATAAACTGTGATACGAAAGTGGTCTTTTGCCGTCTGTTGTGAGCTGTCGTTCGCTGGAGCAGGTGTCTCACCTTACTGTGTCTTTGCCCGAACGGTACATCAGTTTTGCCCGAATAATACTATTTTTTTCCCGACAGGGGGGGCTGCAGCCCCCCCAGCCCCCCCCGCCCCGTACGCTGATGTTCACTAACCTGTACTTCCGATTGCATTAGTTTCTTCTTTTTATCCTCATCTTTCTTGAATGTTTGTGTCTTCCTACTTTCTTTTTCTTTAATTTTCTCCTGAAAGATCGCAAGGTGTTCCGGAAAACACGAGAAATAACCAAAGAAATCAAAGAAACTGAAAATGGAAGTTAAGCACCGGTTTGCAAACTATATGCTAAATATTCGTTGTTGTTGTAGGATATCGCATCTGAATGCAAGAGAAACAGTCAATCAAAACAAAAAACAGCAATCAAGTCTGACCTGTTTTTGTAGGTCTTCGACATAAGCATCATAAATTTCCCACTGTTTAAGAAAAAAAAAAACAAGGTAAGACATAAAATTATAACTCACTTCTACTTTCAAAAAACAGAGGAAACTAGTACAAAGTGCAAAAAGGAACGCTATGAATGCATGCAAAACGAAAATGAAATGGAGAAGCATCTAAAAAATAATGGGAAGTCTTTCTTCGCATAATTCAGTCCTATATCAGGGTAAGCTACAGACGTCTCCTCTAAAGATTATCAAGAAAAACGTAAAATACCGGTCATAAGCCCCCACTTCCCTAGACTACAAGCAGTCTCTCTTTTTTCTTGGACCGTCGAGCACAACGCGCGAGACACGGAAATGACCATGCGTGTGCCGCCCTCGTTTCTCGTGTCTCGCGGTTTCGCCACTCGACGTTCGCGCGGCGTGCACTCCCCTCACTAAATCTGAAGAAAAAGCGAGACTGGTCTTAGTGTACCCTTTCCCTATCTATCTCTAACCAAATTTTTATAGTATGATTTCCGTTTATAACTTGACACCCCGGAGGCCCCTCTACATATATTCACACAGTGTAAAATATATCTTGTTTTAAGGTATAAAGCAATCAACACCTGGGTCATCCAAACCTACCTGGTTAGCAGTGGCTGAGAAATTTGCTCTTGGCGGAGGTTCAGTCGACGTACCACGTTCCTGAAATGAAATATTACTGTTATCAAAAAACAGTTATTTCAATTTTTATCATCAGACATGTCTTCACTGTCTATTAATTCAGGCCAGAGACAAGAATTGAGTCTTCCAAAAGCTCCCTTAGTATTTAAGATTCACCGTTTCCGTGTACGGGTACGGGTAATTTAGCTGTACGTGTAACTGTAAATACGTGTAGATTGCCTGTTACCTGGGGGAAACGCGTAGGCTTCCGGGTAGAACGGTGATGCCGTTTTCAAATCTGAGAAATCATAGTCACCCTTTATACAACTGCGTGGCAAAAATCTTCGTCTACCCGTACCCGTGGGCAAAAACCGGTCGCGGATCCACACCGGTTTCCAGCGGCTAGATTTTTCATAACAGATATATTTTTAATAAATAAAAAAAACTTTCCAAGTTGCAAAGCTTCATCTTAGGTGAATGGAACTGGCCAATATCCTGTCTGCAAGACCCGGAAACCCAGGAAAAGGGACTTTACTTTTTAGGGAGTCAAAATCTAAAAAATTTCCAGAAGGAGCCTGCCCCCGGAGCCCGCAGAAGCTTGCGCCTTCGGCGCTCGTTTAGGAAAACCAGGGTTGCCACTAAGATTTCAAGTTGCCGGGTAAACACAACAAGTAGGCGGGGAAATCAAACAGCTAGGGATTTCTTTTGGTTCCATTTTTCTTCTATTTTCCAATAAAAGTAGCCGGGGGCCACTCTCTTAGTAGCCGAGGAAAATCCCCGGCCCCCGGCTCTTAATTACAACCCCGGTCAGTATTGTCCTAGATCCGCGCCTGGAAACGGTGTATCTTAAGGTCGCTACTATTGTAACACGTACTCTGTAAGGATTGTTGTAAGTCTGAGATGCTCTTTCACTGAAGTTAAACTGGTTTGTTAACTTGGATTCAGCTTTTCCTCCCTCAGAAGCAGATGAGTCCGGTCGAACTTCTTCTGCTGCTTTCTCCTGAAACAGAATACAGCCGAATCCTCAACAAACGACCATTAAAAATACTGAGATTTACTTATCGCTTACGAGAGATGCAATGGTCTCTTCCTGTTGGCTAAAGTTAAAATCTCTATTTTCATTTGCTTCGTACAACAATTTTGTGGCAACAATGTCCATTTGATTTTTGATCATTTTTCCCAGACGGGGGTGCTTAATTTTTGCACGTGACTTGTTTTAGAGGAGAAGTATTAATTTCGTTTCAATAGTTTGCAATTCATTTCCAAGAAACATATGGACGACACGGATCAGTGATTTCTTGTGTCGCTGCGCATAGTTCAATACAAGGTACTATTAAATTTTTGGTTTAAAAGTGTAATCTTAAGGTGTGGATATTCAAATGAACACTGATTATCCTACCATTTCTTTTGCAGCATTTATCTCACCAGTAAATTTTGGGATAGCATGCTCATGGCCAATGACTTCCTTATTCAAATTTTTAGGCTAAGAAAACAGGCGATATTTCGCGATTCCACCACTGATTTAATGACGAAATGACGTGTGAGGAACGAGCGCAGAATTTCCATATTGATGATGCGTCACTCCCAGATCTGAGAAGTGCTTCTGATTGGTCGTGCCGCGTGGAAAATTTGCTTCAGCCAATCAGAGGCACTACCCAGATCTGGGTAGTGACACGTCATCAGTATAGAATTTCTGAAGTCGTTTCTCAGATGTCATTTTTGCAGGGAAACCAGTAGTAACTTTGCGAAATTTCGGCTGTTTTCTCTCGCTAGAATTAATCATGCTAAACAATTACACAACTAACAAATCTGATGATGGAAGAGTGTACTTTCCTTGTCTGTAGGATCCCAAAAGAAAAATCACAGTCTAATTAATAGGTATCTTAGCTATTGAACATGACTACTAACCCTCAAAGCAATATTCTCGGTTTTCATATGACGTCACCAAAATTCAAAGTGCAGAGCCATCGATTCTTATGAGTTTATACTTTCATGGGGTATTAGGGGAGCTAAACACCTTTATTTTTTCGAATTTTCGGTTCAGAGGGTTCTTCGTTTTGCGATAGTGGACGCTTGAATTTCCGGGATTTTGCGTGACGCGGCATAGCTGGCGGCCGAGAAAGCAGTTATGTGGGTTAAAGACGTTACCAATTTTTTGAGATTTTCCTATCCAAACATTCCTTGTCTCAGAATAAATATTACTTTAATCTTTATGAGTTTCTCAAGCGATGAATTCACACATTTGAAGACAGATGTTTCTGTTGGTTTCCGGCGGCCACATTTGTGCCCCTCAAAGGGACACCAACATGGCGTCTCCATAAAAAGCTTTATAAATTTGGGTAAAACGTTTTTCCGAATATCTCGCTTATGACATAACGCACAGACCTGATTCTTGGCGAGGCTATTTGCATATTGATCTTCTTTCATTTCCCAGATTCGGGACTTTCTGTATTGAATGGCTTGCATTTTTATTTTTGATGGCGTTACAGTGAAAACAGAGCATAACATGAACAACACCACAGATTTGCATGGCCCATGCATTATATACACACAGGTAGTAATAATTGCATTTTTATTTTTGATGGCGTGACAGTGAACACAGAGCATACCATGAACAACACAACAGATTTGCATGACCCATGCATTATATACATACAGGTAGTAATTACGACACGTGAAGGAGAATCATGAGGTTATCCCATATTAAGACCCCTCCTTAAATAGCCAGGGACAGGCTCCACAGTAGGGGAAAAAAGAAAAAAATGGGGTTCACCCTTTCCCCTCCCCAGACTACCTCGCGCCTCGCTTCACTCGCCGAATTTTTTTTTTTTCGCCCACGCCGATTGTTTTCTCCGTTTTTCCCCAATGCGGAGCCTGGTCCCAGGCTATTAAAAGATAACCCACCCAACCCAGGAAAGGTTGGCCACACCACCGGGGTATATGTCCCCTACTCTTTTCAAACAATGGTGTGGGTTATTTTACATCCCACAAGAACCATATATTAAGTGAAAGAGTAAAAGTGCTGTGAGACGGGACCTATGATTTCCGTCCCTATTTGAAAAGACTAGAAAGTTATTTAAAGAGCCAGAGTGTTGGTCCAGTAGGGATTTGAACAATCGACCTGAGCTAACGAGGCAGCAGTTCATATCAATAGGGTCACATAAACAGGGTTTTAACTGTACTCCTTACACTGTAAGTAAATAAATCATCTGCCTAGTCTGCATACCCCAAAATACATAAAAACAACACCTCACCTCGCCTACAGCTTCTGGTTTATTTTCTTTCTCTTCCTCATCAGCAGCTTCATTAGCATCATTTTCAGCTAGAGACAAAGACAAAGCAGCATAGTTATGTACCATACTCCACTACATTGAGAATTCTTTGGGATAAGTTGGGGTTTAATCAACAATAATGGATTCTTATAGTAGCTGCAGAATGTGTTTTCATTCTAATTTACGGCAAGAGTGAATGCACTGTACCCGCAAGTCCAAGCACAAAGCACCCTCCAGGCTTCAATTTCCAATCATTCTATGGTGTGCGACCACCTTCTTGCATGGCCCCACGCAACTGCCTATCTGAGCTGAACGTCAAAATGTTTGCAGACTGGATTAAAGCACTATGCAATATAGGTGGAACCACTCTTAAGCAACCACACCCATTTCCGTGAGAAAATTTTATTTCTGATAGCCACAAAAATAGTGATCTCTAGACATTTGTAAACTGGAGAAACAGACATGGAAAACTGGAACACGGCTTTTTACACAGGATTCAAGGGAAATTTAACATGTCTTGTAATTTACACCGATCCTGTAACCAACTCAAGTCAGTAAGCAGATTTTATGAAGGAAAAAAATTTTCAACATTGTTCAACTTAAACAGTTTTTAAACACGAGTTACAGACCATCAAAATGATTGTAATGGCGAAATAATGTTTGTCAGTGATGAAATACATGCAAAAATGCCCCAGACACTAAACTTAGAATAAAAAAGATTCGAATTTTGGGAGAAAATGTGATAAATTCCAAATTAAAGCTCAGAAACGCTCATAACTTGATTTTATCCGGGAGATATGGTGACCTATACAGGAGACCATGGTGTCATATCTGGGAGACTCCTGAATAATCTTGGGGAGTTGGCATATATTATGTATTCTTAACTCAAAATTTACTGAACTAATTAGACATGTTAGTCTTCCTTCCCAGTGGAGGTCTACTCCCTGTGGTCTGACTCTCTCCCATCCATTTTGTATTTTTGTAACATTAAGGCAATTTATGGCCCCTGGTGACTACAGAAATTATTTTTAGTGGCCTTAAAGTGAAGTGTCTGTGAAGATTAAAGAATAGAAACAGAAAAACAAGGTTTCACTAACAGACTCCAGTGAGTGCACGGCTGCGCGCTGAATAGCTGTAGCCACTTCCTGTTCTGTAAGCTAGAGAGTTTTTTGAGCATAAAAATTTAATTTCTCATTTTTAAAAAAGGAAGAACAGTATTTTACAGTTTTAAAAGTATTCATTAAAAATATATTAATATTAACAGTTAAAAGCCAGCTGAGGGAGTCTCAAATTAATTTACGGGTGCATTTCTTTACTAAAATCTAAATCTGGATTTTTAATCCGAAAATGAACATTTCGTTTCTTTACTAAAATCCAAAAATGGATTATTGATCCAAATGATCCACAACTGAGGTGGATTCCTTGGATCATATCGAAAACCGGATACTTTGGATACATGATCCGAAGTGATTCTTTACTACGGATCTGGAAAGAGTGAATACTGCCAGCAGTGACTCAAAACAATTTTAATACATTCATCTGCTGTTTGACCACACTGCTGATCTTAATGGCTATTTTTTAACCCAAGGCATGGATTAAATAATGGCCAACTTAATCCACTTTATCGGGGTGGTAAAATTGCAATACAAACAGGACCTCTGTTGTTCTAGTTAGCAAGGACAAAACCGCTACACAACTTTGCCGGCGTGCCTTGCAACACTTTACTTTTCCAGCACATATCTTATTGCAAGATTCATCTTCATTTGGCCCATCTAAAACAGTATCCTTCAGCTAATCGTCCAAAATACAATGAAAGTTCAACAAGCTTTCAACACTGTCAGCAGCCGTGTTACTCTTTCTCGAAAATACTGTCGAAATGGATGAAAAACCATCCTTGTTTGGATACATCGTTTCTTTTCTTGATGAAAAATCCTAATGATGTGGATTTTTGATCTGATCTTGGATTTTAGTAAAGAAACAGACCCTACAATCTTGCGCAAGAGGCATTACAACGTTAGTTATTTATTGTCGTTGAATTATATTTATCATGCAAAAAGTTTATGTATTTGAGAAACACTGTCCTCACAGAAAGAACATTTGAAATCTCATACATGTAAAAAGAGCTCAGTTAACCCTCAGTATAATAATATTTATAACTAGACAAATCTTAAATTTTAAGTTTGTGGGTAAAAAATATTTTCCAACCTAACATCCAATATCCTATCCATCCAATCAGATGTCTACTGAAAATGCTGGAATGAATGACCTAACCAAGAACTTGCTGAGGACAGGCTAGGGCACTGCTTAGACTTAAAAAAAAAAGTCCCTGGGGGAATACATAAATATCTCAGACTAGTAAAGACAAGTTAAATGCTCATTCCAAAAAGCACTGGAAAAGAAACTTATCTTTGTACAACACTGATACACGGTCAAATAACTTTTAATAACATATTGTTCTACATTTCCTACAAATACACACTGCAATATACCTTCTCCATGTCCTTGCCGAGCACGCTGTCTTCTGGCTTCATCTGAGTCTTTATGAAGCATATTCCTGGGCAAAAAAGAACAAACCAACAAGTTACAGATGTACATTAATTGACAAAATATGTCACATTAAGTTCAACGGGGTGCCATCAGCCATTTGTTACTATGTGTTTTTGTCATAAAAAATATGAAAGGGGAACTTCCTATCATTGCAACAGACTGTATTATTTTTAAAAGAAGTATTTTATCATGAGTATTCTCTCACCCATCAAGTGCAAAGTGAATTGCCAACTGGTCTACACTCGAAGTTGCTTTGTAACATTTTTCCTGAAAGAAAGATCAAAATGGACATTAATTATGAAAATCAATCTTAAGTCACGTTCTCTTATATCAAAAATGATAATAAAAAGTAAAATAAACCAAATAAAGATCAAACAAGAACATTAGTCCATTCAAATTAACAAAAGTATACCAGGCATATTTGTTAGATGTGTTTGGAAATCTCTTATGCTTGTAAATGTATATATTATTTTTTTGGGGTGACCTAAGTGATCACCATGTTGTGGAGAATCAGTGACAGGTTTTTGAAAGAAACAATCTTCCAATTTAACAAGCTTTTGTCAACTGCCAACATTATCATGTACTGAATCTTTTTAACTGATTAAAATTAAACCGAATAACTTGAAAATTCTTGCTCTTGTTTGATTCTCACAATAAGAGTGTCTAAGGCTGACAGTACTTTAAAAGCTGCATATCTAAGGTAAGAATCCATCATTTTGTCCTCTGACAGCTTTTAAAATGAATTCAACTGAGCTTGGGTAAGAGAACAAGAGACTACAAATGTAAATCAACTCTGTATATACATATGGTACATATCCTTTTAGCAAAGTAATAACAGGAAATGTCTGCCGAGAATATGGAAAAGGTCATCTAATCTGCTATACTACTCAACTGTCGTCTGTTGGATTAATCTTAATTCAGTAGATTTGGTAGGTATAAATACATTTTTGACCAGATTATAGAAAAGATAAGTGATATAAAAATAACAAGTACAAGTTTTTTATTTGTTATTTTTATTTTATCCTTAGAGCAGTAAGAATGAAGGAATTAAACTACGGTAAAAACATCATTCATAATGATTAACCCACTTTTTTGTCTCGTGGCCATATGTTAATGTATAGGTAACATCCATTTTCAGGTTAAAACAGTGTTCAATCTTGTTTGGTTTAAGGTTTCCTTTTATTGCCTAGCTCTAAATACGTACGAGACAGCAGAAATTCTGGTTTAACCCAAAAAGAAATTTTACCTACAACAGCTACATCTACCATACCCTCACTTATAATCTAAGGCAATAACTAAATTATTACTATAGTTATAAGAAATCCCTTATGACTTTGATTGTCTTGTATGTCTTTCTTATTTGGACACTTTTAAAGAAATCAAAGGTTTTTAATGTAGTAATAGTACATGTGCACAGTGATGACCAATATTAGAAACTTATGTTTACAACACACAGTTACGAACTGAATAAAGTTTCAGTTACCTTGAAGCTGTAGCGGACAATATTGCTTGGGGCATGAGGGTTATTTGCAGTCAAGATTCTAGTAAACTCTACTTTGAGCTCTTCATCAGTTAGTTCAAGTTGGTCATCTGGCTTGATCAGCTGTTTTGGCTGCAACACAAATAAATACAACACACTACATTAAATATTACACGCTTTAACCTCTTACATCAATGTATATATCAGTGTGCCACAAAGTAGAAAGTCGCTAATCTTAAAATAATTAATTTATGTTACATTAATTTTGATATGTGCTGTATTGATTTATGGGTAAAGACAATATTATTATTATTATCATTATTACCATTATTATCATTATTATTATTATTATTATTATGAAAATTACTATTACATCATTATTAAAAATAGCAGTGAAAGTCACATCATATCAGTGATACGTACATGAAGGGTCACCCTACTGCTGTAGGTTACAGTAAGTTGGTCAAAAGGTTATGAAGACAAGACCCCCATAGTGAGGGTTCATTGGGCTGCAGAGTGTGTGTTTTTAAGCCGGGGCTGTATAGCAACTTCCACCATTATCCGTGACAATAGGCCCGTAGCATTATGAAACAATAAATGATTGGTATTATTTTCAACTGAGACATTTCCAAATGCACCCCCTCTACCCCCCAAAATAAAGCATGACAGCATAATGTGACTTATTTGATCTTACCTGGAAAGCTTGAAATTATAATATATGATTTTACAATATCCTCTTTTGTTTTAGTAAAAACGTAAAATATGTAGTCATATATAACAAAAAAAATTCACACCATTTAGTCAACCAATGATTTTCCTTACATGTGCAATTATATGGGAACAACATGCAGTGTGAAGTGCAAAATTATTTTGATTACAAGAAAAGTGGACAAAATGTGTAAATCAATGACACAAACTAACAACTTTAGAAAAGATGGTTGCAGATGATCGTTCTTTTGGATTCTGTTTAAAAATAAATAAATCTTTTTCAATTCTAGAAACAATGATTACTATAGGTATTTTCATGAAAAAGTTGAAATTTAAAAAAGATTAATTGCAGTTCATAAATTGTAATTATTCTACCTGCATCCACTCATCCAGATCATCCCCAACCTGTGTTGCATCATCATCCTCCTAAAAAGGTCATTCGGATATTCTTTAATACTACGTTCAAGTATTAAAAAACTGAGGTCAAGTAATCTTGCCCCTTTATATCACTTGTTTTTCTCCCTTTGGACATAACATTATACTACCCCATGTAGCAGTATCCCACAGATTATTATACTCATTTTTGTCCTCATGGTCATCATGTGGATAGCTCTTCTCCAGTACATTATAGTAATCCCATATTGATTAGGTTAAGCATCTAACCTTAAATTAGCACTCATTTCAAATAAGCACCCCTCCCTTTTGTGAGGGGGAAAAGTTAATTTAGCATCCAACCCACCACCTTTCCCTCCAAAAAAACTGAAGTGGACAAGAAGAGTACATCAGTTATTATTTCTTTACTGCCCTATCTGCTTCTCTTTGACTGACCCATTTGCAGACGTTACACTGTGAGACATCTACAATGTACTGGGCAACATCAGAGAGTTCGCTCTGGTACATCCCCAGGTTTTGCTATTATTTACTGTTTTGTTGGAAAAGTAACTAACTACTTGCTGAAAATATTGAAAATTAAATATTAGCACCCAGCCTAAACTCTTCAGCCCCAACTCTCAAGACCTAAAAATTTCATAAGCACTCAGGATGACTGATTGAATCAATATGGTATTCTTCTCTTGAGACAGGCCATTGGATGGCAGCTATACAGGAGAGCAGTAGAAGCATCTTGAACTATATTGTTTCTCCAGCCCCCCATGACCCCTTCCATTTAACTACAGAACACTTGTGTTCCCTCAGGATAGCAACCCACTAGTAGTGACAGATACATGTACCTTTTTCTTGGCTTTTGTAGCAGCAGTTTTGCTAGTTGACTTCACAGGTGCATTTGAAGCAGTAACTCCAGGCTTCTTCTCCTAGCAAAAAAATTTAAAATGAATAATACAAGAGCAATATTTTTCATCAGAATTTATGCAGGCACTGAGGAAGTGAATTCTAAAAAATGATGGGTATATTTTGTTTCCAAGTTCAAGGTGCTTGCATAACAGCCTTACTAATGTCCTCACCGGTCATTTCAATACAAGTTTCATCAATAATCAGCTGAGATTAAAATAGCTTTGCTTAATTGGCTTATATAATGAGGAGTATTCACGATATATGTTTTTTTTGTGAATTGAATATGATTTAAAATACTTTCGTTTCACTGCGAAAGTTTGCACTGAAACAACTTTCCATCAAAACACACAATTTCTTTACCGATGATCCCAAGGCATTCATCCCAGGGGATACTATACCAGCAGGTGCATTAGTGCAGGTACATTACTTGTAACACTAATGATAGGTTTGAGTATTAGATTTTGATGATGCAGTTATTACCAGATTTGGCTAGCTTTAGTAACACTTCCCAGTCACTGGTTTTTAACTAAGCAGTGCCCATGCTGGTGGACAAAACAATTTTTATGAAGAAAGAGGTTAGTCTTATGTCCACTAGCATGGCTGACATGACATATCAGCTGAAAATCAGCAATATGCGTCATCATATTATAGAACTTTACATAAACCTGTGCATGAACAGGACTTTTTTTAAAATAAATATGCATAATTCGCTGTCTGTGCCAATTATGGAACTAGGCTCTAAAAATCATTTTGTAAATACTTGAATGCAGAATGAGCTTGAAAACATTATCATTGGTCTTAAATACAGCATACAGGGCAAATTTTGGAGGTATATTCATTGACGTGGCCTGGCAGCTCGGTGGCTCGGCAGTCACAACTGACCAGCCACCGAGCCATCAAGCCACGAAACCATTATAATCTCGACTGACTAGCCATTGAGCCACTAAGATATTTACCTTGACTTAAACGTTTTATTTTACAACTGTCTCATACTTAAATGTTTTATATCTTTCTCATTCTTTAAACACATGTCATGACTAGTGAGGCACCGAGCCACTTCTGCTTAAGACCTTGCAATATGGCCCTGTTTTCTGTAGTTGCTCACATGGACGTGTTTTGGCTCATTCCTATGCTGGAAAAATTTTCCTGCATTATGCCAATGTCATTATGGCATTTTATGATTTTTATTGTTTTTCTTATGGAAAATATTTCAATAAATGCTTTGGAGTAAGGCAGTAACTAGAATACACTCGCAAAGACATCAGCGTTCCGTCATTTAAAGACACCTTTTAAATAAAGGTTGCAAGAAAACAAACATGGCGGACACCAAATTGCAGTAATTGTTATTCAGACAGAGATGATTATCTACCCGGAAAGAAGGACAAAACTTACCGCCTTTCCAGCCTTTACATTTAATTTCTTCATTTCTTCGTAGGATTCGATTGATTTATTGCGTTTTTTGCCTCTTAACTGAGGAAAATGTCACCACAAACTGCACATCAGCGAAGCTCTCTTCAAAAAGCTTGACAAGTTCCAGTTCGTGTTTCCCTGGTAACAGGCATTGGCTACCAAGCTACAGGCATGGTTACAAAGCCGAAAAGATGGCGACCAACTCTGACAATGATGACAGTGATGGTATGAACAACAGTGACGATGAATATTTAGAGGCAACGAAGAAATCGTGGACCGATTCAAAAGGTCTGACAAATGAAGGTATCAAAGAAAAAATGAGGAGAAAATTTTGCCTCTTGTCGTATGGAAATTTTTTGCTCCAGACGAGGTTAGCACTTGACAGGCAAACGGCCAATGACAACTGTGACAAAGCACAGGGTATTAACGACGAGGGTCATTACGCAGATGATAAAAGTTATTTGCAAGGAGAATTTTACAGGAATCAGGAGAGTGATGAAGATGTGGGTTTTGCAGGTGACCTTGCTCAGGAATTCAATCTTATACCTTCAGACAGTGTCGGTGACCATAAGAGAACCTTCGCAAACATAAACGATGAACTGGGGATACGGGTTGTTCCAAGTGAGCGATTTGTTCGAGAAATAACGGATATGAAAAAAACAGAAGAAGAAGTAGATCAATAATATATTATTTTAAATGCCTCTTACGGTACCTTCCCCTGAGTGGTGTAACACTAGATTGCTAAACTTTTACCCCATGTCGGAGGGTGGAGAGCGTGGTTGGCCCAGGAAACTTTTAGAAGGTGTGTGCCGGTGGAACCCTGGAACCTTTAACCTATACCATACTATAGTGATTGCTAGAGAATTTTCACGCACAGTTTTCCCTTTTGCAGTCAAGTTTTTATAGTGGCACATGGCTTGGCAGCTTGTTGGTTTGGCCTCTAACCAAAAAGCCTTCTTAGTAGGCACTGGTTTGTTTTTTAGCAGAAAGGAAGAAATCTCGAGGACAGGCGAGGGGAGAAAAGGAGTGCAGGTGCCTGCTGTGGAGACCCTGGTTTTCCATTTACGCCCTCAATTTAATAACGTGACAGCACTGCAGCAACTGAAAGCAGATCGTATAGTGGCATGAAACCAACATCACACCCAAAGGGAAAAGTAGCCTTGTAAATATTTTTGGTATATCTGCATAGAGAAAATAGTGTAATGAGCAAACATGACAAACAGGCTTACCCAAGGCCCGTCCAGGCTTTTGTCAACCAAAGATGCTGCTACATTTATGTTGATCAATGTTATGGATTTTGAAAATGAAGAAATGATCGTCGCAGTGAACGCAATTTATGCAATTGTGTAAAGAAGACTGAAAAAAATTCAGGACTTCAATGGGACCAACTGAGCTATGAAGCCACTGACGTTGGGAGCAGGTCAATTGTGGGTTCATATGTTCCCGTGAAAGAAATGAGTGTTAATGATATATGAAATAAATCATATATGAACTGCGGAAATGAAATGAAAATGAAGAAATGATATTGAAATTCATCGACTCATCAATTCATTCATCCATCAACACTTCAGCTGACGCATACGATGATATACTTTCCTTGCTGTTTTTCTTTTAAACAGTCCAAACAGTCACAGGCTGACATTCCTCTAGAAGTTACCTTGGCTGCTTGATCCCTGGCTTGATCCGGAATTATGCTTTGCAACAGGGAAATAATGATGATGCTTGCAAAGACGGTTCTGGTGTTCGCATCCCAAAACAAATAACTGAAAAAATACACTGTCTTTGAACTGAGTTGGCAACATTGCCAAGAGATCTTCACCAAAAAAAATGGTACAATGCTCTTTGAAAATGAGAATCGAAATAAAAAATCTTTCTGAGCTAAGCTTTTTTAAGGTGGCTCGACTGGATTTTTTTAGGGGGATACCTCCCAAGTTTAAGCATTAACTTCATCGCCATGATTAAAGATATTTGACAAAAGGTTACCACAACTGTATTATATAAAGATGAAAATTTCTTATGATCTGGGTTTCATTGCAATTGGAGTCGCCATGGCAATGTAACGACGCCATTACGTTTTTTATTTATCTTTGTGTTTCTCTGTACTAGGAGTATTTTTTTTAAGAAATCGCTTCAGGGAGTTTGTACCTGCCATAATTACCTCAATTATGGAAAAGTTTGAACAAATTCTATGAGAGCGTTTTCAAAAATTAATCTTTTGAAACAAAGTTTTAAGCATCATAAAAACAGTGAAATAGCATGCTATCCACACAATTGGCTAATTTTTTAAGAAAATGATAAGCTTTGGAAATGCGGCTTCATCTCATAGTGGTTTGATTCCATTGAAAACCGCGTACAAGAAAAGAGGGGAATTGCTCTGGGCGATCGCGAGTAAGAGACTTTTGTTACAGTTTTTGCACGTAATTTGGTCCACACCTACAAATTTTGCATTTTTCCAAAAAACCGCTCGCTAAAGTATTATTCGTAAACTTGTCGAATCAATTTACCTTAATGCTCCTACGACACCAAGATCTTTCTCCGTTGTTACATCTGTAATTCGTGATCCATTCAGATTGTATGACGTCTTAAACTTGCGAACTCACATCAACAACTTCGTAAACTGTACAAAACTCTTATCCAAAAAATAAACTTAAGTGCTCAATACTCATTAATTCGAGTTGTGATTGTGATGATTTGAGCATCATCACCATCAACTTTATTCATACCCTAAATCTTGTCACAACAATAGTGGCCTTCCTAAGAATCGTGTCTAACTATATATGACTATAATATTTTACAATACTAAAAGTAAAAGACACGTAAGCACAAAGCCACCTAGGCAATTCATGAGATTAGTATACGTACGCAAACTTAACAAAATTCGTGCAAACTTAATATAGAGCGTGCAAACTAAAACATACAAACTTGATAACATTCACGCCAACTTAATGAAGTCAAGAGCACAAACTAAATAATAAGCGTACAAATAAAGAGCACGCAAACTTAACAGAACACATGCAAAGCCGTTTATAAAGGTCTATAAAGAACGTGCAAACCATTAACAGAACACATGCAAACTGAACAGGAAACATGCAAAGTTTGTAAAGAGCATGTAAACTTAATAATACGAGTGCAAACGTAACAGAACACAAGCAAACTTAATAAAGAACATGTAAACTCAACCCTTAGAACACATGCAAACTTTATAAAGAGCATACAATCTTAGTAATACGCGTGCGAACTAAATAACGAGCATACCAACTTCATAGAACACATACAGACTCAAGCATGCAAACTTACTAATACGCCTGCAAACTTAATGAAAAACATAAAGAACATGCAAACTTAACAGAACACGCACGAGCAAACTTTATAAAAAGCACGTTAACTTAATAATACACGTGGAAGCTTAATAAAAGGAGCTTGCACGTGCAAACTTAATGAGAAGCACGCAAACGTAACACAACACATGCAAACGTTATAAAGAGTACGCAAACTTGAGCAAATCGAGCAATAACATTTTTTAAATTCATATTAAATATTTCTAACACTTCACTTTTAGAATCAAAATATCATTTGAAATGCCCAAATTTAATCTTACATTATTTCAAACTTCAATTTCAAGCTTCGCGTACGTTCATTCCAAACGCAGAAAAAACATGCAAACTCAACAGAACACATGCACACTTTATAAAGAGAATGCAATCCTAGTAAGGGGCGTGCAAATGAATAACGTGCATGCCAACCTCGTCCCCAGGGTCTTCTCGCTTTCCAATATGGCGGCGGCAGGAGAGAAGACCCTGGCACACAGCAGAAATCACGTGACTGATTTGTCCACGGAGAGTGGAAATTTATTCAAAATGGCGGCCAAGATAAAGAGTGAGAGGATCTGGGTACGAGGTCTTGAGACTGGTGAAAAACAAACAAAATGGCGGCAAAGGCAGAACTCAAAAGAAGCAAAAAATATGAAAGAATACACTTACAAGCCACAGGAATACGGTAGAATGATATAGCGATCTTATTTTCTGTTCAATGGCCTTCATTTGTTTTAAGCCTGAAAGTTCTAGCGCACACGGCTGTCTACAACTTAATTTCTCGATACCGACCTTTTTTCACCGTTTTCTTTTTTTGCCGTACCCTGAGCGCCAGAGGTTCAGGTTTCTTCTTTCGTGAAAGGGGGAGCTTTTTCTAACCGTGAGCGCAATTTATTTCTTCATGTTAGGAATTTCGAGAACAGACCTCTGAAGCCAGGGAATTTTCTGTCATGACGCTCTAAGACCTCTTCCGCTCCGAAATTCAACTAAGCATTAAATTGAGTCGCAGACACTTTAAGCTGATAAGTTATCGTCAGTTTTGTTACAGATCTTCATGAGGTTTTTGACTATTGTTTTTCTATCTGCACAAATTTTAACTGAACTCTGATATGTAAAAAAACAATTTTTTTTTCTGAAAACAAGAACCAGAGAACACTATTTTGTTAATATAATTTGAGGAAACTTTGGTTGAAAATTAAACAGTTCCTTGGTCAGTTTGGATATTTTGTCACTTGAACTGGTACAGGTAATAAAATTATTGTCAATCTTCATCTACTTCACAGTTTTTAGACTTTGTTATTGGCTTTTGATATCTAACCCCGTTCACAGTGCTTCCGGGAAATAGAGATAGGGGCTTTATTTAATCTAGCAAAGACGGTGGTATTAGTTCCCCCCAAAAAAATGCCAAGTGAAAAAGCCCAAGTACAAGAAGGTTGGAGGTCAAGCAGCCGAGGATCAAAAACAAATCCGAACTTCCAGTTGGTGAATAAATCATCCTGGATTGGTCCACAGAAAGCTTTACAGTTTTCCTTGATTTATACAGTCTCTTATTTATTAGTGAAGAATAAGAAAAGGGAGGAAGGTGGGATGGGGGTTAAAAAAGACGGGGGCTTATTGTTAAAACTTTCTTTCACTGAAAAGGAGGGCTTATTTGAGAGAGGAGGCCTTAATAGAGGATTTAAGATGTTGTTATTGTTGGTTTTTTTTTGCCTCTCAGATGTAAAAAAAAGCATTAACCCCGCTTTAATAGCTAGCAAAAGGTGAAGAGTGTTTCCATTGTTTCTAATATAGCAATCCAAAATGTATTC